AGTCCCATCTGGGGTGATTTGTTTACTTTCTAATGCTTAGCTAACTCAACATTGCTATAAAGCAATTATTAATGAACAGGAAGAAGGGGAGTTAAACTGGAGAAATTTAACTGGAACCATTAAACCTAGCAGGAGTATTTAGTTGGAATTGGATCTTTTCTTGGGAAACTATGTTTCTGATCATTTTCTGGTCTGTCGTTGAACAGTTTAATTGATTTTACGGCCAATTATTGGATGTTTGTGTCCATTTCCAGTCTGTTTTTGGACATAATCAGAGCCCCAGTGGCCTAATGGATAAGGCACTGGCCTCCTAAGACAGGGATTGTGGGTTCGAATCCCATCTGGGGTGATTCGTTTATTTATCTAACGCTCGCTTGCTTCAACATTGCTGGAGAGCAATGAAGCGGACGCATTGGAGCGAGACTTGTTGTAGACTAACTGGAACTGTTAAAACTAATGGGGGAATTTAGTTGGAGTTGGATCTGTTCTTGGAAACTTTGTGGGTGGACTCCATCATTTTCTGCTTCACATCCTTTTTTTGTCTTTCGTTGAACAGTTTAATTAATTTTATAGCCAATTATTGGATGTTTGTGTCCATTTCCAGATAGTTTTTGTACACAATCCAGGGCCCCAGTGGCCTAATGGATAAGGCACTGGCCTCCTAAGCCAGGGATTGTGGGTTCAAATCCCATCTAGGTTGGTTGGGTCAAAAAGACTGGGAAACCACTCTTTATGGACAGAAACAGGAAGGGTGGAAGTAAGACTTGTTGGGAGTTGTGTCGTTCTAATGAATTAATAGGAGTCGTTAACATGAGAGGAGGGCTTTGTTTGACTTGGAAACTATACACCTTAGGGGACTTCCATCATTTTCTGTTTCTGATAATTTTCTGGTCTTTTATTGGAGTTTTGTGTCCACTTCCGGTCATTTTTGGACAGACACGTTTTTGTCGTCTTTTGTCATTTTGTTAGAAGTTTCTCCCATTTTCTCATAATTTGCTCGACATTCTAATCATTTTATGGCCATTCTTCAGGTTTTGTGTCTGTTTTTGATCAATGATTTGTCTTTTTTTCTGGTCTTTCTTTGAACAGTTTCGTTAATTTTTTATCCAAGTACAGTCGTCTGCACAATAAGAAAAATCAGAATCAAGATCTTTGGTGTCGAATTGGGGTAAATCTGAGAGCGTGGGGAGGCCCGTGGTGCCTTCAGGGGCCGTCTGTAAACGGGAACACCACCTACTTATCGCAGGTGCAGAGGCCACAGCACTTTCCCAGGTCGGTCAGGTTTTTCTCTGCCTCCTTCATATCAGAGTCGATCTGATCCAAGCCCTCCTCTATGCGCTCCAGCTGCTCTATGGGGGGGGGGGAAGGGGGAGGAATGGGGGAGGAAGGGGGGAGGAGGGCAGAGGGGGGAGGGGGAAAGCCACAACTAATAAAAAATGATAAAACACGTCTCCACGCAGCAGCACACGGACTGAAAACGGACCAAAATGAACTCAAAACGAACCACAAAACCACAAAGCTGGAGCTAAACGGGCCGATGGGGCTGGAGTCCAGCTCCATTCACTCATTACAGACTTTTTATTTTTCCTTTGCCTCGATTCTGTGATTAGATTTTAAATATATTACATTGGAGGTCTTCAACAGCTGGTCCGCGGCCCCTAAGGGGTCCTGGAGGTACTGCATGGGGGTCGCCAAAGTTTGGGTTGATTAGACTTTTTAAAAAATATTTTCCACTATTTGAAATGTCTTTAGATCCACATTTTAAGACATTTAAAGTCTTTAAATCCACATGAACTCAACATACATTAAAAAACTTTTTTTGAATATATTCCACTAATTGAAATTTCTTTAAATCCACATTTAAAGTCTTTGAATCCAAATGAACTCAACATACATTATTAAACTTTTTAAAAATATATTCCACTAATTGAAATGTCTTTAAATCCACATTTAAAGACATTTCGATCATTTTATGGCTAATATGGCTTAGTCTTATTTGTAATATTTTTGTAATTCAAATCAATTTAATGTCATATTCAAGTTGATTTTTACAGTATTTAATGATTTTATATTATATTTGGTCATATGATCTTGTTTATCATACGATTTGATTATTTTAAAAATTAATCTATTTTTATATCCTTTCTTGATGATTTTTCCTTTTCTTTTTTATATGTTTTCTGTCAGAAAACTGCTTCAAAAATAAAGCTTGATTGATTCAAACTTAATCACATAAAAACTGGCATGTTTTTGGTGAATTATTACCAGAAATCCGAGAGTTTTGTTGTTTTTTCTTCTTTCTGAAATCACTTATTAAATAATTTCATTAATTTATTTATGTATTTATTATTTTATATTTCTTATTTTTATTATAATTGTATTATGTATTATTTTTATTATAATTGTATTATCTATTATAATTGTATTATTTCTTATTGTTATTATAATTGCATTATTTTTTATTTTCATTATGATTTTATCATTTATTATTTATTATTTTTATTATAATTGTATTATTTATTATTTTTATTATAATTGTATTATTTCTTATATTTATTATAATTGTATTATTCATCATTTTTATTATAATTGTATTATTTATTATTTTTATTATAATTGTATCATTTATTATTTTTATTATAATTGTATTATTCATCATTTATTTATTTACGCCTCCGTCCAGCAGAAGGCAGCACAGAGCTCTGACCACCTCAGACTAAAGTGGCTGATTTATCCATATTTCTGGTGGGAGTGGAGCTGGACCCGCCGGTGGTATTATAATTCTATTATTTATTTATTTTATTATAATTTTATTAATGATTATTTTTATTCTAATTGTATTTATTATTTTTATTATAATTGTAATTTATTTTATTATAATTTTATTATTTTTATTATAATTTTATTATTTATTAATTATTTAGGTATTTATTTATTTACGCCTCTGTCCAGCAGAGGGCAGCACAGAGCTCTGACCACCTCAGACTAAAGTGGCCGGAGCTGATTTTTCCCTATTTCTGGAGGGAGTGGAGCTGGACCCTCCGGTGGTATTATAATTGTATTATTTATTTATTTTATTATAATTTTAGGATTTATTATTTTTATTATAATTGTATTTATTATTTTTATTATAATTGTATTATTTATTATAATTTTATTATTTATCATTTTTATTATAATTTTATTATTTATTATTTTTATTATAATTGTATTTATTACTTCTATTATAATTGTATTATTTATTATAATTGTATTATTTATCATTTTTATTATAATTGTATTATTTATTATTTTTATTATAATTGTATTATTTATTATTTTTATTATAATTTTATTATTTATTAATTATTTATTTATTTACGTCTCTGTCCAGCAGAGGGCAGCACAGAGCTCTGACCACCTCACACTAAAGTGGCTGATTTATCCATATTTCTGGTGGGAGTGAAGTGTCTGATTTATCCCTATTTCTGGAGGGAGTGGAGCTGGACCCCACCGGTGGGCCTCAGACTAAATTGGATTTTTCCATATTTCTGGAGGGAGTGAAGTGTCTGATTTTTCCATATTTCTGGAGGGAGTGAAGTGTCTGATTTATCCCTATTTGTGGAGGGATTGGATCTGGACCCTCCGGGGCTCCGTACTTCCTGAGGGGCCACACACACAGCCCACAGCAGCGCGCCATGTCCGTCAGGTTCTTCTCCGCCTCCCGCATGTCCCTGTTGATGGCGTCCATCCCCTCCTCGATGCGCTCCAGCTGCTCTGTTAGGAACAGGGTTCAGCTTGGGGCCGTTTTATTGGCACACGGGGCCAGAGAGGGCTCTGATTGGCTGATCCCGCTCAGGCCGTCCCGACAGAGTAGGGGGGTCCTCGGAAAAATCAGCTCTCGTTGTGGGAAATTATGATTAGATGGTCAAAGATTTTGACCGAGAACAGAAACAGCAGCCGAGGCGTTTGAGGCCTGTGGGAGGGTTTATGTTCAGGCTTCGATCCTAATTTCAGGAATAACGATGCGTTCAAGTGTTATGATGTGTTCAGGTGTTATGATGCATTTAGGTGTAACGATGCATTTAGGTGTAACGATGCGTTTAGGTGTAACGATGCGTTCAGGTGTTACGATGCGTTTAGGCGTAACGATACATTCACGTGTAATGTTGCGTTCAGGTGTCATGATGCGTTCAGGTGTCATGATGCGTTCAGGTGTTACGATGCGTTCAGGTGTAATGATGCGATCAGGCGTCATGTTGGGTTCAGGTGTAACGATGCGTTCAGGTGTTACGATGCGTTTAGGTGTAACGATGCGTTCAGGTGTAATGTTGCGTTCAGGTGTTACGATGCTTTCAGGTGTAATGTTGCGTTCAGGTGTTACAATGTGTTCAGGTGTTACGATGTGTTCAGGTGTAACGATGTGTTCAGGTGTAATGATGCGTTCAGGTGTAACGATGCGTTCAGGTGTAATGTTGTGTTCAGGTGTCAGGATGCGTTCAGGTGTTACAATGTGTTCAGGTGTAATGTTGCGTTCATGTGTAACCATTAGTTCAGGTGTTCAGGTGTAACGATGCGTTCAGGTGTTACGATGCATTCATGTGTAATGTTGCGTTCAGGTGTAACAATGTGTTCAGGTGTTACGATGCGTTCAGGTGTAACGATGCGTTCAGGTGTAACGATGTGTTCAGGTGTTATGATGCGTTC